GTGAAAGGGAGGTGAGGAAAGGAGTAGAGAGTATGTGGCTGCATTTTAAGTTGGGTGCTTAGAGTAGACTAAGAAGGTGAAATTTGAGCTCAAGTTTAGTTAAGTAATTCGCAGGCCATAATTTTCAAGAATGGTGTTTCACATTATCCTTGCTTTATACAATGGATTTATAAAAATGCAACTGAGATGGTTACTTTAAAACAAGACATTTGGGGAAAAGAATAAACTCTTAGAAAAACAGTACAGAAAAAAAACTGAATAACTGCATGCAAAAGAATGAAGTTGGACCCCTACTTCACTCCACATACAAAATTTAATTTTAGTGAAAATGGAACAATGACCTAAATACAGGCAACAGCCATTAAACATTTATAAGAAAACACAGTGGTAAACCTTCATGACCTCAGATTTGGCAATACATTCTTAGATTTGACAATAAAGGTTTAAGCAACAGAAAGAAAGCAGGTAACGTGTACTTCATAAAAACTGAAAACGCCTGGGTATTAAAGGACATTGGCAAGAATGTGAAAAGACAAACTACAGAATGACAGAAAATATTAGGAAATCAAATCTCTTTTAGGGGTTTAATATCCCACACATAAAAAGAATTCTTACAACTCAACAACAAAAAGACAAATGACCTAATTAAAAAATGGGCAAAGAACTTGAAAAGTCATTTGTCTGAAGATACAGAGATGGCCAAGAGTCATATGAAAAACATGCTCACAGATCACTGAAGAAGTACAGATCAAACAGGAAGATATCTTTTCACATTCACTAGGATGTCCTCAATCAAAATAACAAAAAATAAGAAGTGCTGGCAAGAATTTGGAGAAAAAAAGAACCCTTCTATATTGGGCAGCCACTGTGGGCAGCAGGGAAGGACAGTTTGGCAATTTTTCAAAAAGTTAACAATAGAATTATCATATGACTCAGCAATTCCACTTCTAGTGATATAACCAAGAGAATTAAAAACATATGTCCACAGAGAAATATGCACACAAATGAGTATAGCAGTGTTATTTGAATAGCCCAAAGATAGAAAAAACCTGAATGTCCATCAATGGAGGACTGGAAAACAAATTGAAATACTATTTAGCGTTGAAAGGAACAAAGTGTTGATGCATGCTTCAACTTTTATGCACTTCAAGAATACCACGCTAAGTGAAAGAAGCCAGACACAAAAGATCACACACTGTATATAATTCCTTTTATATACATATCCAGAATTGGCAAATCCGTAGGGGCAGGAGGCAGTTGAGAGGTTAACAGGGTACACAGGAACAAAGTGTTGAGTGTGATTACTTAATAAGCAGGGAAGTTTTTTATGAGCTGATGGAAAAACTTTGAAGCTAGAAAGAGCTGGGAGTTGCATAGTGCTGTCAATATACTAAGACCATTAAATTGTACATTTTAAAATGATTAATTGTATATTATGTGACTTTAATATTAACTTAAAAAATAGGATGTTTCAATAATTGGAAATGTTTTTTCATCCAATTTTCAGGATCAGATCTTATATTCTTTACTTAAATTTCAGTTCTGTGTTCATTCTAGTGTTTAATCTATTTGTAACATTTTCAAGTTTTTGTAGCTTTATTGAGATACAGTTCACATACAAGAGAATTCACCCATTTTAAGCATTCATGTTAGTGGGTTTTGATAAATACAGGTGGTCCAGCAACCACTGCCACAATCAAACTTTAAAAAGCATGCAAAAATCCCCAAAAGCTTTCAAGACTCTTCACTGTCAATTGCTCCCACCACATTTCTGTCACTATAATTATGCCTTTTCCAGACTTTCATACCAGTGCAATCATTTGGTATCCTGGAACTGGGCTACAATATAAGCAAAGAAAGTGTTTACTCAAGAATAGGACTCATACTTTTTTACACGCCACCAAGGGCAGGTGGACCCAACATGTGTTCCAGAAAGGCACTGTGGAGGGAAAACCTTATTTAAGGAATGGAACAAAGAAGTCCTCTGATCTCAAGTCCCTTGTTATGAAAATTTTTGGACTGGCTAATGAGGGCCTCTACAGATAGAGAATTGCTGGGTCATTTTGTGGCAGTCAAAAAACTTGTCTGGACGGAATCAGGGAGACAGTTTAGGCATGCACATCCAGGTACTGCACTTTTCAGAATGACAGTGAGATAAGATGAAGTCTGGTTTGGTTTAAGAAAGTTCCTCAGGATATAGTCTTATAAGTCTGGCAAAGCTCTCTGATTTAGCATAATTGGTCTGAGGTTTATCCATGTTGTTTTATGACTCCATTGTTTAAATTTTTGAGCAATTTATTACATTGAGTTTGTGCGTTTACAAATTGAGATCATTAGATTGTTTTCATTTTCTCAGTATTGTTAAAAAAGCAGCCGTGACGAGTCGCATATAAAACGTTTGTGTGGGCATATGTTTTCATTTCTTTTTAGCAAATAAAATTGCTTAAAGTTATGTTCAACTGTTTAAAGAAACTGCCAAAGTTTTCAAAATGGCTGAAGTATTTCTAATTCCCACCAGTCATGTATGAGGGTTAGATTGCCCCAGGTTGGCCAACACAGTATCATGAATCTTGCCGATGACCTTCATTCTAATGGTATTGTTTTGTGGTTCTCATTTGAATTTTCCTAAAGACAAATGATACTGAGCATTTGTTTTAATGTGTTTATCGGTCTCTGTGTATCTACTTTTGTGAGGTATCTTTTAGTGGCAGCAAAACTCCAGCTCCATCTAGGGTCTACCTGGGTCCAAGAATTACATTAAAATAATACAGATTAGGGCTGGGATTGAGGCCCAGTGGCTGAGAACTTTCCTCACATATAAGAGGCACTGGGTTTGATCCTCAGGACCACATAAAAATAAATAAATTAATTAAAGTACTGTGTCCATCTACAACTAAAAAAAAATTTAAAAAAGAAAACTAGAAAATTTCCAAATATTAAAAAAAGAATATAGATTAACAGGAGAAAGTAATAATGTAAGTTTTATGTGGTATAGGAGACCACCAAAGCAAGTGAAATCAGTTACCAATATGTTGGATTGGACAAAGAAGAGGAAAAGATGAGTTATGTGAGAAGAGTTATTAAATCAACAATTAAATGGAATTTTCCATCCTGACTCCTCATTCTTGGAAGATAAAGATACTGCTTTTCCTTGCAGTATAGGTATAATATCTTTCCCATGGGAATTTTTTTTCTGGTTTTAAGAAAAAGCAAGAATATCAGAATGACTTTTTTGTACCTGCGGTTTTTCAAGTGGTTGTACCTCAATATGCCAGAATAGCATATTTTAACCCTTTCCACCAGGACCTTACTAGTTTTAATCAGTTTTGTTGTTGTTGTTGTTGTTTTAGTAATAAGAGCACTTTATAAATATTCCTGATACAAGTTCTTTATAGATAGAAAAGTTTTTCTCCTAATATATGGCTTGCCTCTTCATTTGATTAACATTATCATTTGATGAATAAAAATTTAATGTTGATGATGTCAAATTTATGGACTTCTTTTCTTAGAGGCTTTAGTTATTGTGTTCCAAGAAATCTGTTTAACCCAAAATTTGCAAAGATTTTTCTGCTTTGTAATTTTAAGTCCTGTTTAGCACTACAAATCCACTTAGAATTAATTTCTGTATGCAGTATGAAGTGAAGGTCAAGGTTTTTTCTTACAGATATTCAGTTATATTAGCACCTTTTATTTCAAGATTATCCTTTCCTCCATTGAATTACCTTGGCAAATTTGTCACAAGGAAAAAAATCAATTCAGCACACTATGTGGGTTTAAATCTGAAATTTCATTTCTTTTGCATTTCCTTTGATTCTTGTTTCTTTTCTCGTTTTTCTATTGAGTTTGAGTGACACTCTCCCATTTCCTCTTAGGTTTACTAATCTCTGGTTAAAAACTAGGCATTGTATGTCATACATTGTAGTGACTCTGAATTTTATTTTGTTCTTGTAAAATTGTTGGTTTTACTGTTTTAAAATATTTGATGAACCTGTCAGGACTCAAACTGGAAAATATGTTTCTCTGCCAAGTGCTGAAATTTTTGCTCGGTTATTTTTTCTTCTGCCTGGATCTCCGGATCTCTTATGCCTTCGTGGCTTGTGGTCAGTCAATGATTTGGACAAAGGCTATACAGAGATGACTCGAGTCAGTAAAGCTTTCACTCTCTGCTACTGAATCTAGATATGGGTTCAAGAATTCATTCAGACTTGCAGTAATTAAGTAAGTCTCCCAGATTTTAATTCTGCTTGTGTTCCTTGATGACATGTACACACTTTGCTTAGCAGTTAGCCATGAACGCACACAGTATATATTATCTCAACTCCTCTGTAGTTTTCTTGCCTGTAAAATCTATCCCTGAAATCTCTGGCTATCCTGCTTCTCTCCCATACCAAATCAGCCACTTCCAAACAGTAAACCTCTGAATTTCTTCCACCAGATCTGGAGGATGGGAATATCCTCAAGCAGGAAGCATTTTTCACCAGTGCAATAGCAGTTTTTTGTAAATAGATATTTTTCAGTTTTTTGCTACTTTTGGTCATTTCTGAAATGGCTGCATTTAATAATTTTGTCCAGTTTTATATCTTTTCAAGGTGAACAAGAGGAAAATAATCACTCAACTACTTAGTCATTAGTGTAAACAGAATCTTAACCATATTCCAAGTATTTATAAATGTATTATTTAATCATGATTTAGCAAATAAATTAATTGAAATAAAACAAATTACTTCAAAAATAAGCCAACATACTTGGAAAAAAATTCTTGTTTGTAAAACTTCAGATTCAATTTCTATGAAGTGGGTAGTAAATATAAAACCAAGGTAGGCATTATTTGTTATCACTGCTAAAATATAAATTACCTACTAGGAAAACTTGAAACGCACAAAGTTTTATAGACAAGAACAACCAGATTCAGACCCAGACTTTCTGTTATAAAAGAACATTACTGAACATAGAAGATCTATTTTCATATGCAGAGTCCATTTGATTTTTGAGGAAATTACCTTGAAGGCTGCTAGGCAGTGCAGGCTCAAGAGGGCCATCACAACTGCGAGAAGGACAGTGGCTAAGTTCCTCATGTCCCAGATGGTCTCTACCAGAGGAATACTGCCCACCTGCCAGTCATAGCACAGGGTAACAGGCGCAAGCAGAAGCCACACGTTGAAGGCCAGGAGGTAGGAATAAGTAAGGAATCTACGAGGAGAAAAAAAAAATTACTAAAATACAACTCAGACTCAGGACATATTGCAAACATTTATTCACGTGTTTCTATTAAACAGTGTTTCTTCTCTGTCATTTTTAACTTATAGAAGACAAGACGTCAAGCCATTCATTCATTTATTCATTAAAGTGGTCGTCCGGGGATAGATCTAATTGCTTCCAGCCACTGGGTCAGATGCTGGCCTTTTGGTGGTAAAGAAGTGAAGACAGTTCTCATGGCATATATTTAAAAGTTATCATGCAAATCAATAAATATATTACAACCTACCAGGAAAGAAAAGTTTGATGAAAGCATACGACCCGCCTTCCTCAGGTACTGGGGATTGAACTTGGGGGCACTCTACTGTTTAGCCAAACATAGCTGGAAAAAGTAGCTGAGTAGCTGGGATTACAGGCATGTACCACCAAACCCAGCTCAAAATGTCCCTTCTTAACAGTACCCAGAATCTTGCAATAGATTTGAAAATATTTCATCATTTTTATAATAGATTGACACATATACTCCCCCATTAAAATGCCTGCATGAGAAATCACAATGCTTCCAGGAGAATTTATTCTTTAGTCTAGTCAATCTAACAATAGGCTCCTCACTTCCTTTTCTTAGAGCATTATGATAAAGGGCTTAGGATTGTGAATATATGTCTCTTACAACTTAGAAACATCTCTCTCAGGATCCAAGAGCCATTCCTTGAAAATGCAATCATTAGGAAGGATACGGCCTTGGTCACTCAGTCTCTGTGAGAGGATAGAATCCTAACTTAACAACTGCTGGCCAGCAGACACAGCTGGTTCAGTGGCATTTCCACAGACCAACTCTATAGTTTTCACTACTGTAACTCTGCCAAGCCCTGGCACCACTCCCTCCCCCAATCTCCTTTCAAAAGGCCCACCTCCGTGCACAAACCATAAGACTCAGCTTCTTCCCCAGTATCAGCAGTCACTGAGGGAAATCTGTTTTCAACAGTTTTGCTAATGTTCAACTAAGTTCATTCTGACTCCTACTTGAGATTAAAGGGAAAAATTAGATAATTCCTTATCCTCGTGGAATGTATTATCCAGTAGTAAAAATGGAACACACTAAATTGAAAAGGCAGAATAAGATGAATACAGTAAGTGCACACAGTGGGAAGAGAGAGTGTTCCCCACTCCTCAGACTCCTGGAGGGATTCTTGGCTTGACAGAGGTTACATCAGGTGTTTTATAAGTTACCTTCCAAAGTTCAGAGTCAAAGCAACTTGAATTCCTGTCAATGTAGCTGCCCTTCCCAGACCCTCCAACCTTCCCCTTCTTCCTTTTCCTGGAAGGTTGGCCACGGAAAATCACCCACAACCATCAGGGGGACAGTCACTGTAGATCATGATTCACTGCCCAGACCCTCAAGTTCCAACAGAGAAATGGGTGGAAGGAGTGTTGATATTGGGGTTTCTCAACACTTTCCTCTCTGCTATAATTTTTAATAAAATAGTAATGTACAAATAATATGATGGAATTGAGATGGAATCCAGACTTCGTCATTTAACAAAAATGAAAAACCACCTTTTCCTTTTTAAGCTTGTGTCTTTGAAACTGTCACATAAAAAAGTCTTCCCCACAGAAAACTGGTGGCATCACTTTCGGCTCCTCTCCTTACAGCGCTTCCAGGCGTTGCTGTCCACCTTCCAGAAGATTCTATGGGATTTAGCTTTACAGGCAAATGCTGAACCACGAAACTCCATAGGAAAATCAAGCAACCCTGTTGCACAGTTATACCCTAGCCCCTAAAAATTACTTGAAAAAAAATTCTTTTTGAAGTAATAGATCTAGACAATAATCATTGGTGGCTGCTGAAATTATTATCAAGTGAAAAGCTGATTATGTACTTTATATAGGATGGACTGGACTAAATCAGGTGCCTGAATATGACTAAATAATTCTAACATCACAGAAAGAGAGATGAAGAGCCTAATATTCTCCTGATAGAAATACACACAGCAACAGAGTAGTCTTGTCAAAAACAAAAACAAAGCCCTAAATTTTATCAAGTCCTAAAATTAAGGGCATTCACAGCACAGACAGGAAACAACAGTATATGTCACATGACTCCCAGGGATACAATGTGGGAATCCAGAAAGTGGGAAACACCATAGGACAAGTACCCTGTTTCTTAAGCAAATACTTTATTATGGTCATCTGTAAGTTGAAAGTGACCTTAGACACCAAAGAAAGTGCAGATTTTGTCCAGATGTGAATTCAAGCAAAGCACTATTAAAACTAATCATTTATGGAAATTAGAAAAAATCCGGAATGTTGACTGGCAACAGAATTGGATATAGAGAATCATGATCAATTTTCAAAATGTGATAATAGTATTGTGGTTATATTACTAGTCCTAATCTTTTGGAAACATATCATATGTGTATACTTATACACATATGAAATAGGGTGACTAAATCAAAATCAAGATTGGGGATGAAGATGAGAGCTTTGGATATGGATGAAACAAGATGGCCATGGTTATGATGTTATGAATGAGGATAACGTGTGAGTTCTTTATGCCATTTTCTTTACTTTTGTGCATATTTGATATGTTTTCATAATAAAAACGTTAAGTAGGGGGAAAGAGGCAAAAGAATTGCAAAATATATATATATATATATATATATATATATATATATCTTTTTTATTTTTAGGTTGCAGCTTGACAATGGAATACCAGCCAATGTTACATATAATTACTTATTTTAATTTTAAATTAACATTTTGGCTTTGCCCTGAAAGTTGTCCTCAGTTACTTATATTTTCTACATTTGCAATGTTGTATTGGCAAAAAGCAAAAAAAAAAAAAAAATATATATATATATATATATATATATATATATATTTATGTACAATCTCAATGTCGTTATATAGATTTTTTTAAAAGTTCATTATGCGGCTGGGGCTATAGCTCAGTGGCAGAGCGCTTGCCTAGCATGTATAAGGCACTGGGCTTGATCCTTAGCACCACATAAAAATAAATAAATAAAATAAAGGCATTATGTCCATCTACAACTACAAAAAAATGTAAAAACAAAAGAACAAAACAAAACAAAAGCTCATTATGACTTTTTACAGTCTGTAACTCATATATTTAAAAGGTGAAGTAAGCCAGAGAACTAAAAGCATTTTCCTTTGCTATAACACTAGGAAGGTCAAGACTATTAACTTATCCCAAGGTTCCCTCTTAAAAAAAAATATGTGTTACATCTACAAACTCAGAGATACTCTATCTTGTAGTGCATACCGATTCAGATCATGTTGCTAATAAACTCTTTAAGTACTATCTGAAATATTGACATAGCACTGGAAAATTTTGCAAGTTTAAGCACAAAGAAGCCATTTGGAATCACTCCAAAAGCTAATTACATTTTAGGGAGGGCTAGTAGAGCTAGCTGTAATCAACAACTAGAATATTTCTTTTTAACTCCTTGACTATGCATTACATTCAAGCTAATCATCTTGTTTATTCCTGCTAAAATTTCAGAAACCAAATAATCTGGGAATATCTCTGCCCTGCTGGGCTCTTTTTTTCAAAGCCAGAGCAAAGCCAAAATGAATTATTTACCGATTTTCCTACTATAAATTCTGCTAACAGGAGGAAAACTGTTAGAACATCTTGCCAACAAAATGAAATATACAGCACAGAGAGGCGGGAATTCAACCTAAGCAATTTAGTCATGCATTTTCATTGATAAGCCAGGAAAAACTAAAGAGGCTTCATGACAGACATACATGAAAGGAAAAAGAGAAGCTAAGGCTGTGGGCACATGGCATCCATTGAGTGGTACCTGATGAAACTGACTTTGTAAATTGAAATCTGCATTTTTAATCAAGGAAATCAAGAGTATTTTAAGTGAAAAAAAATAGACACAGATTCTTTTCTTTGCCTTTGCAAAAACCTTTTTGGCTAAGAAATAACATTACCCGAACATATTTCCTTATCCTATGCAGATGCCTTCAGTAGATACACATGAAAAAAATCATGTACCACATGAAGAAATATACAGCCCTTGCTTATTTTACATAAAATAATACTGTTCAAAGAAGCATTCTTTTCCTTTCACATATAAAATCCTTTATTGTTTTATGAAGAGAGGGCCTTGGGTTCACTGAACACACTTGCCTCCTTTGGCAGGGCACTGCTAACACTATCAAAATATTAAACTCAGCATAAGATGCTTTTATTACCCTGCGCTGCCCCAACTTTGCATCTACCCACCAGGCTTGGAGATGTGTTCTGTTCCTTCCCAGGTGGTCGCCTATTTTCATCCTCACAACTCCTGAATTAGCCCTCATGCTTCAGAGGGTCTCCACAGCTTTGCCATTCCCTAGCAATGATAGAACTATGCAGGCATCATCTGCTTATCAGTATGTAGCACCTTCTTCCCCTGCCTATAACCTTTTCCAGAGTATAGCCACTTCCCACATTAACCCTCTTAAAAGGCAAAAATCAACAATCGAATTCAATAAATATTGATTACTTATCTGCTTTTTTTTCTAGGTGCTGAAGGGTATGAAGATCTAGCCCCTGCTCTCTACAAGGGTATTTCCACTGAGTTGCTGGTGAGAATAGATTCACACATTACACAGTTCGGTATGGTATAATATAAATAACATCAAATTTCAATGGCATTCTAAGGAATCAGAGACTAGTGAAAAGTGAAAAATTAAGGGAAGAGGTTCTCAAATCTCCACAGAATGTAAACAGGTGGAAAGATGGATAACAGAGGGTACAGGCAGGGCCACCAAATAAAGATGGTTTTAAACTATAAATGAACATGGTATTTTGTAAGAACAGTTAAAAGTATAGGATTAAAATGTATAATATTAAAATTATAAAATGGCCAGGTATTGTGGCACATACCTATAAACCTTCCTACCTGGGAGGCTGAGGCGAGCCAGCCTGGGAAACTTAGCAAGATTCTGTCTCAAAAAAACAAAAAGTGGCTGGGGAT